CCTATCTCTTAATACCATTGTATTGGGACTTAGGTTTTAACGTAAGAATTTTGAGGGGACATCTACATTCAGGCTATAGCAGAGGTAAAGTCCCCTTGATGAAGTGCATGGCACACTGCCCAAAATCTATATTGTTAAATCTTTGTCTCAGTCTTCCCCAGAAGAACCTATGGCTGTTTACCAGGGTAACTGTGCTTTAGAGAAAAGGAAACAATCAGATTTTAGGGGACTATTAGATACTGGTCCTGAACTGAAACTAATTTCAGAAGACCCAAAATGTCACTGTCTCTCTCCCCCAAGTCAGAATCAAGGTTTATGAAAGTCAGGTGATAAAACGAGTTTTAACTCAAGATCTGTCTCACAGTATATAAACCTTATTTATTGATTATTTCAATTCATAATTGGAAAAGATACACACAGCAACAGGGAGAACCCCTACATTGGTTCCCTGTAGAGTGAAGGCTATTATGGGGAGAAAAGCTAAGGTGGAAGCCAATAAAACTACTTCTACCTAGAAAAATAGTAAACCAAAATCATGCAGGATTATACTGGTCCAGGGCCATAAGGAAAAAGGCTAGACTGGTAAAGAACCATGACCAGCTCTAGTTTACTGAAGGAAAGGGAACACAGAATGGGACCTGGAAGAAGTAGTCATATGACAATGTGACCAGTTACAAAACCAAGGACTGTAACTGTCTTGAGTATTTCCTCCTTATTTGGTATGCATACATTTGTACATGTATACATTGGTGAATATGTATTTCTCTGTGTGTGTGCAAGATTTTAGGAGAAAAATCTTCATGACTGAGGTTAGAAAAACGAGTTCATAGAGTGACACCAAATGTATAATCCATAAAAGCAAAAACAAGGTTTACCAAAACAAAATTAGCTTGGAAACTACATGTTGGGAGTAAATATTTGCAAACTACATATCCTACATATTCCAATATATATAAAGAACTCTTAAGGGAACAGGGTTATAGCTCAGTGGTAAAGACATTGCTTGGCATGCACAAAGACCTGGGTTCAATCCTCAGCACTATAGGAAAAATATCCACTAGTCAAGTTGGAAAATGATTCAAATTAATAAGTGCATAAAAAGGCTTGAACATAAATTTCACCAAAGAGGACACTAGTGGAAATGTGAAAAGATGCTCGATATTATGTTATCACGGAAATGCAAATTAAAACCACAATGAGATACACACTAGAATGGCTAACAAAAACTGGTGGCAAGACCAAGTATTGGGGAAGAAGCAGCCTTGAACTCTCATTCTTTGCTGATGGGAGTGCACAATGAAATGGCCACTCTGGAAAATGGTGACAGTTCTAAAAGTCCTACTTCTGAGTATTACCCTGGGATTTTAATTAAAAACTTGGTTCTTTTCCCCAGTGCCAATTTAATACTGAGGGAATGGTTTTGAGAAAAAGGAAAAAGATTTATTGCTTTGCTAGCAAAGGAGAAACACAGGGGACTCCTGTCCTAAAGGCTGTGACTCTCTCCATCAGGAGGGAAGGGGGGGGGTTTAAAGGAACACTTCAAGGGTTATACTCCAGGTGTGCTCTGGTAGGGGGGTCCAAGGCACTGTGATGGTTTGTTAGGATTCACTTGTTAATTTGGGAGATATTCACTTCCCAAATCCTCAGCAGTCATCTCCTTCCTGTAGTAGGTTCAAGGGCAATTAACTAGAGTAAGAAAAGATAACCCTGTCTCCCTAATCTTATTAGGGAGGGGGAAAGGGGAAAAGACAGAAAAACATTTTTTTAAAAAAATAAGCCTCACAAGGGCTATTTCAGAAGGTGAATGAACCACTGTTACAGGGTAACAAAAAATTATGTTTACACAAAAACCTCTACAAAAAATGTTTACAGTGCATATATTCATAATCACCAAAATCTGGAAAGAACTTGAGTGTCTGTCCATTGGTGAATGAATAAACAACTGTAATCTGTATAGTGGGATACTATTCAGCAATCAAAAGGAACATACCACTGATAAAACAACTGGGATGCATCTTGAAGGTATTATGTTTAGTCAAAGTAGCCAGTTACAAGGGACTACATACTATTTTCACTCACATAACATTATGAAACAACAAAGTAACATATCAGCTGGCAGGACTTCACAGTAAGACGAAATACTTTTCAGTGATGTGACTCTTTTCCATCTAGTTTATAGTGATGGTTATGTGACAAAATCTTTACACTTTGAGGACCTCAAAAAGTTTTATCTATCAATTTTTACTTGGAAGCCTTCAAAAAGTTGAATTACAGACTGGTTGTTTTTTTTTCATGCGAGCATTTGTTTCTGAAAATGGTGGTATGTCACCAAATAGTATTATAGCAGTTTCAAATTAAGAAAGTTCATGTGTTTAAAAAGAAACAATCTAGAATTTACACTGAGAGGAAACTAGAAATATCTAACAGTTTGGTATGGAATATTATATGCACTTTAGGCCAATATTAGTTAAAAAAAAAAAAAAACTACAACCACACATCCATACTAAAAAGACAAGGTATAAAAACAAGTAGCTTATCTCAATTCCCAATTTTTGTCAAATGCGGTATCTTATAACAAAAAAGAATGTTTTATAATTTATAAAGCTTAATACAATTGAGAAAGTGTGGGGAAAAGTGAATGGAGTACTATATACATGGCATACATTAAGGGCATCTGAGTGGCTAGGCACATAGGCCGCAAATCACTTACCCCCTGGGCGTGAAGCCATGTGTTGCAGTCCCTGCGCTTGCTGCGTGGTCCAGCCCTCAACTGGTAGCTGCAAGGACAGTTGCCCAGAAATTATATTGGTAACTGCCTTTAATCTGCTTAGCTACTGCCTGAATATATATACATGGTAACTGCACAATAAAATCAGACCTGCTTCCTGCTTGGTCTCCGGAGGAGGTCTTGATTAGCAATTCTGCAGCCACACTCTCCTCTGCCCTGTTCTGTGGACCTCTTCATCTGACGAGAGCCCATGCAAGAAAGGTTTCTATTAAAAATCTTAACATATTTTAGAGGGTGAGGGCATACTTTGCATAGCAACTTCAGTTGTCTGAAATATCCTTTCTTCATCATTCTAAGCAGATGTTTGTTTATTAAGCACTTATTTTATGTAGGCTAAGAAAGTAAACAAGCCAGTGTCTGCTCTCACGGAACTCACATTCTGATAGAATTTACTTTTGTAAAAAGTATTCTAATAGTATCAAGTGACTAAGATATTAATGTTGAAAAGTAATTTTTAAACTCTTTCAGGCTAGTCCCTACTTAACTACACTACCTTCCTCTAAAATGAATGCAAACTTCAGTTATAAAAATTATGCACATCTTATTGACTGAGCCTGTCAGGATCAAAACCAATAAACATTCTAAATATTCTACAAGAAAAAGAATATTTATGGTAACTTTAAAATGAGAGGTTTCTTCTTTGTTTTTTAGTTGTTGATGGACCTTCATATTATTTATTTATATGTAGTGCTGAGATTCAAATTCAGGGTCTCACACATGCTAGGCAAGCGCTGCACCAATGAGCCACAATCCTAGCCTGAGAGGTTTCTTAAATTTTAAATATTCTTGATATGTGAACTTTTCATTTCTTTTGTTCTCCAAATATAAGCCCAGATTTTTAATATTAGCAGATATTATATACACATACACTATCTTAAGACAATTATCTGCAACTGTTTAAACATTCTTTTACTCTATGGCTAAAGAACATCACTCATTTGGTTAAAATATAAGAGACTAAACAATTATATATAGTATATTACTTGCAATGCTCACTCTGAACAAGTTTACTACTATGAGACACTTTTAAAATTAGGTTTTTGTCTACTCTGGATGACCTTGTAAAAATACTTAACTGAAAAACATGATATGGCTTAGAATGCTTTTTTTAATTGAATTATAGTTTCATATTTTAAAAGAGATTAATTATGCCACATAACAGAAATTAAAATATTTTATTAGCACAATGACATATCCAACTACTCCTTAGGAAAAGAGAAAAATATACAACTATAGTTCCTCAGAAGGGTACAGGCTTATTCCAACTGTTGTTTCCCAGGCTGACGCACTCTTGGCAGAATTTTCACAGTTCCATCACTTTTTAAAAATTTTATTGGTTCTTTTTAGTTATACACAATGTTAGGACTTTTTTTTTTTTTTTTTTTTTTTGTACTGGGGATTGAACTCAGAGGCACTCACTGAGCCACATCTCCAGCTCTATTTTGTATTTACAGACAGGGTCTCACTGAGTTGCTTAGCACCTTGCCACTGCTGAGGCTGGCTTTAAACTTACAATCCTCCTGCATCGGCCTCCTGAGTTGCTGGGATTATAGGAATGCATCACTGAGCCCGGCACATTAGGACTTATTTTGAGCCCATCACTTATCGTGAAGAAAAAAGACCCAGCACTTTCCCACTGATAGCTGTAGGCTTTCATAGAACCTACCAGATTAAGCCGATTACTTAAATTCTGCCAGAAAACTCAGCAGTTGGCCCCAGGTGAATTTTCTTTGGCCCACATGTTTTCAAAGGCAACATGGTATTCATATCAGCAGCACAAACCAAAACTGAATCAATACAAGAGATGATTAGCATGACCCTTCTGCAAAGATGATATGAAAACTTATAAATATAGTTACATAGTGTAATGCATAAGCACAGTACAAGAAGCTTCATCAGTACATTCCATTTCCTTATTTCCTATATGTACCTTGTCTAAAACAATATTGTTGTTGTTACACCAATGTGCAAAAATATATTAAATAAAATATAAAATGTCCATTAGAGTCAATGACTAAAAAATACAACAAACAATAAAAACCCAAAACGCAAAAACAATCACACACCCTTCTCTAAAATTTTACACTAAAGCTGAGAATTCAAATATAAATTTTCCCCCTCCTGGAAGACTTATCATGAAGATAATAGAGTAAGCTATTATTCACAAGCAACTCTCAGGCATTTATACCTAATGAAAACTACTAAATCAAAATTAACACAAAATTATTTTAATATTTTCTGTAGCACAAAATAATTAAATTGAGACAGATATAAGAAAGAGTTCACATGCCAATAAGTTACAGTGCTTTAAATCTTTATATAACTGGATGCTAAGAGGGTACACATGCCCTACCAGCACAGTCTTCTTCACTTCTCCTATTAAAGGCACAGTCTGGGTGATGTATTCAACTAGGAATTCTCTCTTGGGTTCCTGTCTCTTGTTATTTACAAGCACTATAATATCTGAAACCATCCACCTGTATAGATCCAAAAGATGGTCTATCCATTCTGAAATGTCACTTCAATTGCTCTCAGCCCCCTTCAGACTAGACTTCTGATTTCTTCTTTCCTTCTGACCCTGAATTCGGAAAAGCTTCTTCCTTAGGTCCTTCTGTCGCTTCAGCTTCTCCTCCTCTTCCTTCTGCTTCAATTTGACGTGCTCTTTATTGTGCAGATGCCGCTGTTCCTTAGCCTTCTTCATCTTCTGGCTGTGCACTGTGCTCAAAGCATCCAGCAGTGCAAGGATCTAACAAAGACAAAACCCAGTGAGCATCAGATCAGTCTTACCGTTATGGCATGAGACGTACATTTCAGGGGACCTCAACATATGAGCCAACAGTATCAAAACTAGATTAGATCCATGACTTGAATGTTAACTGAGTGAAAATCCACCCTGAACTAGGAAATCACAATTGGCTTGGAGATACCACAAAATCACCTCTGGATACTATGTGCAACTAGCTAAGGCAGAATGGTTAACCAGTGTATGTATTATTCCTAATTCAAACACATAAGGCAGAGCATTAATGAATCAAAAAATGGAAAAATGGACACTGGTCCTTCCTCCAACTAAGGCCTTGAGTAACTCTCGCCCTTATCTTTTCCTGATGAAGATTGAATCTACAGTAGAAATGCTAACTGTGCTATGGAAAACACTTTCGTTTCTAAATGAAATATGCAATATGTTGTCTTGTCAACAGTACCTTCCTCTCATGAGGCTCGCGTATAACTGCTGGTCTCATCCTGTCCTTTGGCACCTTGCCTGCCTTTGCTTGGGTCTTGGGCTTATTCTTAAATGGCAGGGCCTTTTGTAAGGCTTTTGGAATGTGCAGTGAATTAAAATGTTTCTTTTGCCTCAGGACTGGCTGAAAAGAAAAACAAAAGACAGTGACACATTTAAATTATGACCTATGTATATTTAAACTTTTGCATAATATCTTCTCAATGTTTTAACTTTCCCACAAAATCAGTGACAACAGAGTCTGCTGACCACAGAAATCAGGATCTGATCACCCATCAAATATGGATGACTTCAGTGCACATCCGTATCTGTAGGCCAAACAGTTAACATTTACAATTGTTCCACTTCTATGGTATCTTTTATGGGATCTCAACATTTCCTTATTTCCTATTTGTCTGAAACAACAAAAATATAGCTGTTGTTATACCAATGTGCAAAAATATATTAAATAAAATATAAAATGTCCATTAGAGTCAATGACTAAAAAACAGATGAGTAGAGTAAAAAGTAGATGAAACAATCCAAAGTTTCTTATAAGGGAAAATCCAGAGTTTATTTTGGGGGCACTGAGATTACCTATCTTTTCTTCTTAACTCTCTGGATTTAAGGACATAGTTCTTGCACTAATAAGCAAAATATCCCTATTCCTGATTCCAAGAGGTTTAACTTTAGTCTGTTTCTGATGGAAGGCTGGCTGAATACAGAAAAGATTTAAAACAGATGAAGGTAAAATTCTCTACTCTGAATTTTCAAAGCAGTCTAAGTTCTATGTTTTAATTAAGAAAAATGATTAAAATTGCCTCAGAAATACTGTCAGTAAATTCAAAGTTTTGCCACTGGCCTTTACCAAAAAGTAAACTATGTAGAAAAATCTTTCAACTATGTAGAAAAATCTTTCTTTTATGTATTTAAATTTATTATTAAAAACATCATACTCAGTAACATTCAATATTCTCTGTTCAGAAATAATAACTGCTTTAGATTTAAGAAATTCAGAGAAATCTTCTCAAGGAAGCAGGAGCAATAGAGGCTGGATAAGGATATCATATTCTGTGTATATCTCAATAAAAATTCATGCAAGATAGCCAGGCATGGTGGTGCACACTTGTAATCCTAGCAGCTTGGGAGCCTGAGACAGGAGGATCAGGAGTTCAAAGTCAGCCTCAGCAAAAGTGAGGTGCTAAGCAACTCAGTGAGACCCTGTCTCTAATTAAAATATAAAATAGGGCTGCAGATGTGGCTCAGTGATCGAAGTGAAGTGCCTGAGTTCAATCCCGGGTACCAAAAAAAAAAAAAAAAAAAAAAAAAAAATTCATGCAAGATGAACTAAAGGTTTATTCCTATTTTATAGAAAAGTAATGTCTGTGAGACTTCTAGTTCTGATAGAATGACAGACTGAAACCCTAAATCACCCTCTATTTCAAAACAACTGAATATCTTGGATCAAAACAAGCAAATTTTTTCAAATGTGTTATTAAGCTGTAAAGAAAATAATCAGGGTCTCACTGAGTTGACTAGCACAGCACATCATTTTTGCTGAGCCTGGCTAGTAACCCTCAATCCTCCAGCCTCAGCTTCAACCTCCTAAGCCACTGAGATTACAGTCATGTGCCACCACGCCCAGCTCACACGATCATTTTGATGCAGAAAAAGTATTTCACAAAGTTCAGCACTTGTTCTTAATAAAAACTTAATGTATAGAAAGAAAGTTCCTCAATACAATAAGGGCTATTTATGAGAAATCCATACAAAACAGGGATGCCTATACCCTTGTCATTTCTGTTCAACACAGTTTTGGAAGTACCTGAGAGAACAATTACATAAGAAAAAGAAATAGGGCTGGGGATGTGGCTTAAGTGGTAGTGCGCTCGCCAGGCATGCGTGTGGCCCGGGTTCGATCCTCAGCACCACATACAAAGATGTTGTGTCTGCTGAAAACTAAAAAATAAAATAATAATAATAATAATAATAATAATAAAAAGCCAATGAAGATCATTAAACTAAAAAGAAAAAAAGAAAAAGAAATAAAAGCCATCCAAATAGAAAAAGTAGTAATTTTTATTTAAAAAAAAAAAAATTTTATGGACGCAATACCTTTATTTATTTTTATGTGTTACTGGGAATCGAATCCAGTGCCTCACACGTACAAGGCAAGTGCTCTACCACTGAACTACAGCCCCAACCCCAAATATTTCTACTTGCAGATAAAAAATGCTATTCATAGAAAATCTCAAACATCTTACAAAAAAAAATCCTATTAGAATAAATTAATTCGATAAAGTTGCAGGATTAAAAAAAAATCAACATGTAAAAATTGGTATCATTTCTATAACAAATAATGACCTGAAAAAAAAAATTTTTTTGTTTTATGGCATTAACAAAACAAAAAAGCCTTAAGAAAAAATTTAACCAAGGAAGTAAAATATTTGGAAAAGACAGAAATAAAGGGAAAGACATCCCATTTTTACAAGTCAGAAGAATTATTGTTAAAGTATCCCAACTTCCCCAAAACAATAAACAGATTTAATGCAATGTCTTTCAAAATTCTAATGGATTTTCACAGAAGTAGACAAAACATATAAAAAAAAATCCTACAATTCTTAGGAATCACAAAAGAAACAAAACAACCAATATTCAAAGAAATACTGACAAAGAAAAAACAAAGTTGGAAGCATCACATTTCCTGATTTAAAATTGTATTATAAAGGTATGGTAATCAAAGCAGTATGGTATTGGCATAGAAACAAAGACCAAAAGAGCCCAGAAATAAGTCTAAATTTATACAGTCGACTAATTCTTACCAAGGACAATCAAGACAACACAAAAGGGAAAGGATAATATCATCAACAAACAGTGCTAGAAAACTGGATCTCCCCATGAAAAAGAATAAAATAGAACCCCGATCTTATACCATATACAATATTCTACTCAAAATGGTACAAGACTTAAATATAAGACCTAAAACCTTAAAACTCTTTTAAAAAAGAACAGAGGCTAAAAAGCTTTTTAACATTGGTGCTGGCAATGATTATTTTTGGAATATCACACCAAAAGCCCATGTTACAGGAGCAAAAATAAACAAGTGAGACTATACTTAACTTTTCAAAAAACTTCTGCACAGGAAAAAAAATAATCAACAAACAAAAAGACAACCTATAGACTAAGAAAAAAATATTTGCAAACTATGTATTTATAAGGGGTTAACACAAAGGGCTGAGACAGGAAGCTAGCCTCAGCAACTATGAGGTGCTAAGCAACTCAGTGAGACCCTGTTTCTAAATAAAACACAAAATAGGGCTGGGGATGGGACTCAGTGGTCAAGTGTCCCTGAGTTCAACCCTCAGTACTAAAACAAGAACTCTTACAACTAAATAACAGAAAAACAGATAACAATTTAAAAATTGGCAAAGGACCTGAACAAATATTTTTCTAAAGACATAAAAAAGGCAAAAGAAAATGAAAAGATGTAGGTCAAAGGATACAAAATGGCTGATATGTAAGATGATTAAGTCTACAGATCTAACATATAACAGAAGAATTATAGTTATAAAAATGTATTTGGATTTTTTGTTAAATACACTTAACAAATCCATTGTTATAGATGTGTGTTCTTATTACACAAGAATGGCTATGGTTACTAAAATGTATAGTAACATTTTACTATCTATACATATCCTATTATAAACCTCAAATATACACAATAAGGTTTATTTTTTAAAAAGTTTAAATTGTTTTCAATCCAGAGTAAACTGCTAGTACCATTTCCCATGTTCCTTTTCAAAACATTTATGAATATACATATTTGATCAAATTTAATGTTAGACTTCATATCTGAAAAATTGAAAGCACTTAAGATATTATATACAAAAGCATCTGTGTGACTCCTTGTCCGGTGAGCAGACATAACATCTTCAATGATGCATATATGCACAACTTGTACCTTGTAGAGAGAGTCCTTGCTTGGCTTTAGTTTGATACCATGAGCGAGCCTGAGTTGACCTGTTGTCCGCATTCCTGACCAGGTGTCTTTCTCACCCACTGGCTTCAACAAAGATGTTACTGGGTTATAGAAGGCTGGGACAGAGACAGGATACCAAGTTCGCATGAAGACGATATCTGGAAACCAGAGGAAATTAACGTTTTCAAAAGAAAATTCATAACCATTTTGAAAAAAACAAAACCAAACAAACAATAAAAATCCCAAAATATTCACCCCAAACTTTTCTACCTAGTTGCACAGCATTTGAAAAGAGAATTCATCAAGTGAACTACTCTTATATATCACTAATCTTTGGGTACAAACAAGAGGCTCTAGACATAATATGAATCAGCAACTGTATAAGCTGGAGTTGATTTGGACTTTCTGTAGACCCAAACTCCAACCTCTAATCAACACTGGCTAGAGATAAAAAAAAAAAAAAAAAAAAGTGAATGGAAACACAGTGTTATAAACACACCACAAATATATTTACCACTCATCAGCAACTTATCCTCAAAGCTAGCCCGGAAAGCTCCTTCTGGAGCCCTGAGTGCTTTCTTGATCTGCCCCCTTATTCCACTGACAGTTCGAATCACAGCACCTTCAAATTTGGCCACTTCTAAGGCAGAATTAAACATTCCCTACAGGCAAAAGAAAATTAAAAATACATACACATAAAATTACATACTTTATCTCTGTTCATAAATGCATTATTGGTTAAGAAAACAGTAACAACTCATTGATATGTCAAAAAGAACACAACTCTATTTTCTCCAAAATAACACTGATGAAGATTCTACTGCTGGCTCGTTAGCATGTTCATCACTGGCATCTTTGTAAAAAAGAAGAACTTTATACTGGTGTCTTGTTGGCTGAACTGTAGTTTACATCCTGTCACTAAATAGGTTCAGGCACTTAAAAGTAAAAAGAGCTAAACAAATCCTGGTGGTACCATTTCCTGATTTTTACGATCATCTTAACTAATGGAAACACCCCCAATAATGAAAGTTTCAATAAATGATGTTCAGACTAACCTCTCCAAATATTGCAGAACAATATATCCATTTCTATGAAACCTTGCCAAGTTTCTTGTAAATGATTTTGTCTATTTTTCTACTGAACTGTTAGATAAACTTCTTCCTTTCGTACCATAAACCAGAAAGGTAGCAAAATCCAGTGGTTGAAATTACACATTTTCAGTATGAATTCTGATACTCTCACATGGAAATATTAATAGCCTAAACTAAACACCCGTTGGACTTAGCCTTAAGGCTTTTAAGCATACTTAAGTAACACAGACCAATATAAACATCTAAAAAAATTAAAATAAAATAAATAAAAATCAAGTTTATAAAAGATTTAAAATATTTTTCTAAAAACATTAAGCCTATATTTTAGAAGTACAAGAAAACCCCCAATCTGAAACTTTTTGAGGACTGAAATGACATGAATGGAAAATTCCACACCTTATCTCATGTGATAAGTTGTAGACAAAATGCAGGCATATTAAAAAATATTGTTGAATTGTTTTCAGGCTATGTGTATAAGGCATACAATGAAACATAAATGAATTTTGTATTCAGACATGGATCCCATCATCAAGATTTCTCATTGTGTATATGCAAATATTTCAAAATAAAAAAAAATCTGAAATTTGAAGCACTTCTGGTTCTAAGCAGTTCGGATAAGGAATACTCAACTTGTATTTCATTCTTCCTTTAATATTTATAAATTTGAATATATAGGTATACAGACCTTAATAAATGAAGTGTTCTTGAAAATTTTATATGGAAAACCAGTCAGCTTTAACTTCTTCACAATTTTAATGGACTTATCTAGATCAAGGACAACTCCTGTGGCAGCTATCCGGAAATCAGGCTAAAAGAAATCCCCGAAATTTGAATATAGGAATAATTCATCAGTAAGAGTATAATTCTCTGCGATGTAATAAATTACAAAATTACAAGTTATTTTACTTACAATCAGCTAAGAAAGATCAAGAGAACATCTGAACACGCAAAATAGAATTTTAACAAAAGCAACCTAAAACTATAATACTGGCATGCCAAACAAATGACAACTCAAATATTTTCATGGTGATTTCTTTCTTAGTAACATAATGAAAAGGAAAATTCATTTGTAATGTTTAAGAAATTAAAATTTGGATCTCCAGGGTAGATTTCATCTGCTCATTATTCTGTTTTCTCTGATGTTACATGGGCCAATAAAACATGCTCTGACTGGTCCAATGAAGCCTGTGTTTGCTAGCAAACATTTCTACAGGGTAGTTTTAAGTCTAACTAGTTATGATGTATCCTCAGAACTTAATGTAGTGTTTAGCACATGACGAGCACTGCTTAAATACCTTTCTAGATAAATAAATCCAAACAAGGCATAAAAACATGAAATGTCATCAAGTGCCATTGTAATTCTTCTATTTCCTTCTCCTCTCCTTCCATACCCTACTTAGAATTAATTAGAAAGATCAAAAGCAAAGAGAAATTTTATATTAAACATGAGTGATTTTCAACTCACATGTACAAAATCCATACTCAAGATATACTTTTCAAACATAATCTATAAAATAAAATATCCAAGATATTTACCATTGTGCCACTAACAGACTGTATTGCCAAGAATCCAGTTCCCTGTGGAGTGATAGGACCTTAAGAGAATAACAACAACAAAAATAATGAGCCATAAATTTGGGATTCCATTTTACATAAATACCACAAAAAGAAAAATCTTATGAATTGGGATTTCATAAAAGGAAAAAAAAAACTATAATGATAAAAGTTTAAATTATCCTTACAAGCAAGTTATTCTAACAACATTTTACCCCAAAAGGATGCTCCACAATGCATGTGCTGTGGGGTGTATTTTAGAAGCCTTTGTCTTCCATTGTGGTCTTCAATATAATAGAGTGGAATGGTCTGAAACCTCCTCCACCCTACAGAAAAAATGATTGGATCTCGGGACTTGAGGATTTTCTTATACCAACGATGCTTCTTCAGTCGCATCTAAGGGGAGAAGAGTTTGATAAAATTATGCAGAGTACATCCAAAGAACTTTGGTTGCTGAGCACGCAGGCATAGGTACCTACCTACCTGCACATATCCCACATTGCCCTCACTGTTGCCTAAACCACCTAGAATCATTGGATAGTGGGGGTCAAAGTTCAGCACAAATTCACAGGGGACATTTTCAATCTCAATTCGAACATACATCCCAGGTCGAAAACCCTCATATTGAACTCTGGCTTCGTCATCTTGATCTTCAAATTCTGCTCGGTTAAGCTATATATGAGAGGGAGAAAAAAAGTAAAACTCCATTATGCAGTTATCTTTCACAAACATTTAAGATTAAATTTTAAAATGAGCAATTCCTAGGGACTGGGGAATTAGCTCAGTAGTAGAACACTTGTCTAGCACACACAGGCCCTGGGTTTGAACCTCTACAGCAAAAAAAAAAAAAAAAGAAAAAGAGAGCAACTCCTACATAAAAGAACCATGGATAGAATTACTATTCTAATTGAAAATGATACATTTCACCCCTACATTTTGTTTAGGATTTGCCACAAATATGTTCTTCTCCATTGCCCTAAGGCACAATAAATACAAACAACTCAGAAAAGATCCCTGGATGCTGGCTGGCAAAGGCTTGCAGCTTCCTCAACCCACAACTTCTCCTCACTATAAATTATTATTTCATACTTTCCCCCATCTTCAAACATCCAATACCCCCCTCTTCCCCTTATTCTCTCTCAACTGATGGTTATCTCGAATTCACTCCAAAACCAAGTAATTTAGAACTTCCACATACTAAACCCTCTCCCATGGTTTACTTTCACATGAGGCCTTTTATTGTAGCTCTGTACTGTTCAGTAGCATAGCTACATGTGGCTAATAAAATTAAGTGACACTTAAAATCCAGCTCTTCAGTCATACCTGCCATATTACAAATAGTCAATATCAACAAGTGCCCAGCAGCATGATATTGGGTAGCCAATAGATACACAATTCCACTATTGTAGCAAGTGCCATTGGCAGCTCTGGTACAGCTCAATGCCAAACACTTGCACACCATATACCATCCACTCTTGATGGACTTTATTCCAAAAGATCACCCCTTTGTTATTTCTCTTCTATAAAAAGATCTTTTGACTCCACTTCCTTCACCAATAGCTGTCCTAATTTCCATTTCCTTCGGCATCAAAACTCCATAAAAATTTCCTATAGTTGCAATCTCTAGATCCTCTACTCTTAAAGCCAACAAAATTGGACCATTACCCACCACATTAAGAAAATGCTTACCAAAGTCATTGAAGGTCTCCAAATTCTAAACCCAGTGGTCAATTTTGTCCTCATTTAAATGTGTCTCTTTTGGCATGAGATCATTCCCTTCAGTAGCCTACTCAACACCCACAGGCAGGAAGGTCACATTATATCCTTTTCTTTGTTCCACATATTTCCTTTGTTTTTGTTTCTGACCTCACCCAAAATACCCTCTGAACACTGACGAACATGGGTTTTCCAAAAACCTCCCCTGGACAGCATGTGTGTTTGCATAAGCCACATATCACCTATTCATTAAAATGGGAAGCAATAATTAGAAATGTGAAATCTATGCTTGCATTTAAATGAACATACTGTCTCAAATCACTGTACATGAGACCCTCAGAAGCAGAGACTATGTCTTGGTCATTTCTTCTTCCTCAGCACCTCATGCTTGGTGCAAAAGAGGTTCCGATATTTTTCTGGTAAACTTAAAAAACAATTAGATGACTACATGAATAAACATACTCTTCCATATCTCAACCCAGGAGTCCAAAAGAAAAGCACAGGGAGGAGAGACCAAACAACATCTACAACCTTGGAAGGAGGCTGACAGGAATTGAGTTTTCTTACCTGTGCTTGTTTCTGCATTTCTCCTTTAAGATCATCAAAATATGTGCTTTCTCCTTCATCATATTCTGCATCAAACATTTCCTTCAATTTTCTCTTTTTATCCAAGTGCTTTTTCTTGGCATTTTCCTCTGTGTTGGGGTCAGTTTCTTCCTTAACGTCTTCTTCTACATCTTCAACCTTAAATTTCCAGAAGAGAAAAATGTAGTTTATGGAGATCTTTTCATTAAGCAGACAAAAAAAAAAAAATCTGAGTTGCAAAAATCTTAGTTTTGATCATCATGAACAATATAAAACCAAAACATAGCCTCTGGCTCTAAATAACACATCGCCACTGGAGGCAGTTGTCTGTATTACAATGAACTGCTACTACCTAATCTGGCTGGGAATGCCAAACATGAATAAAAGTACTAGCAAATATCCTTAATCCAGATACTTCCAGACTCTGTTGTAAAGAAATTTCCAGGATAACAGGGAATTTGTTTTCTGAAAATGACACTTAAATTTAAGAAGAGAATGATGGCAAAAAGAGGTGTAGAGAGGAACACTTAGGCTAAAACTTGCATGAGTGAAAAATCATAAAGAATTTGGTAAGTGACTATAACAAAAGGTTAGTAGTTGTCATCCAAAAGACTGAGAATAAACAACCTTTTATCTGCACCCATATGCCCACAGTTTTAGGAAGGAATTTGTTCTATAAATTACACAGATTAAGTTGACAGTGGCCATGTCAAAGACATACCTGAGTATCCAGGCTTGGTTTTCCCTTATGAACGTCCCCTGTTTCTAGGTCTTCAAAGTCACCATAGAGCTCCTCTGAAAAAAGAACCACCAAACAGCTATTCTGTAAATGTGCTTGTGTATAACACTAGCGCCATCCAGTTCCAGCTGACTATCCTCCATATGTTACTCTGATTGTTTCTATCACTACACATATGCTTTTTTTTTCTAATTGTATTTCTTCATCTGTTTACATACTTACCTCAAAATCTCAGTTAGTCAAGAACTATTAATCCAGTATAGGGAATGGACTCTCTGTGAGAAATACTCAGAGGCAGCAGCCATAGCCATGAAGGCAAAATCCCAAAACCATCGGTTCAAAGAGTGAATAGAAAAGTCACAGCTTGACTGTAGCATGTGAAACAGTCTTGAAAATAACTAACACAATATAATTATGTAACACACACAGAGGGAAAATCTTAGATTACATAAACTACAGAAATTAGAGCAAAAGTAGAGCCCCAAACAGAACTGAGCCCACAAGAAACATTCATTCATTCATCCATTTGTTTTTTTTTTTTTTTTTTTTGAGCTCTGGGTTCAGTTGCAGGTCCTACTCTCAAAAATTACAGTCATGTAAGAGTCTACTTGTAATAAACACAAAAAAGGATAAAAGAACACAAGCATAAACCTAACAAGAAATAGACTGAAACTTTATTTTAAAAATAAAATAACTTTAAAATGTGACCAATGGACAAAGGAGTAACATAATCAGCCAACCCTTTCCAATACTCTCCATGCAAGAGAGTGTTTTCAGTACTACACAGGCCTTATATTCTTAAACACAACCCAAGAAAGAAGGTATTGTACACACTACTGGATAAATAAATTATGTCCCTGGTTTGGAAAGGAAGATTCAACATACATATAGATGTCAAATCTTCCTCGAATGTAATTATTATTAAACCACCACCGAGGATTTCTAGTCTGGAAAAGAGAACACATTTCTCTCTGTTCTTCCTGACTACATATCACCATAAACTCCAGACATAATGCAGGAGACAAGAGACAATCAAAGAACTATGAAAGGTAGAAAGAAAAAGGCTGGTCAGGGAGTCCTGGACTAGAGGAATGACTTGGTCTTGGTGGGCAAGTGTCTCAGTAGACCCTACCCAACAGAAAGGTGACCCAGGGCTCAGTGTTTCCCAAACCCCAATCTAGCAACAGAAAAGTGGCCCAGGCAGATTCACTCTTCCCCAGATCAAATGAGATATTGCTGGCAACAGCAGGTTAACCTAGAAGCACTGGCAAGGGAGTTGGGAGTCCCACTGACAATAATGACAAGGGGGGAAGTGTTCTCCTTCCCTAAAGGACCTAAACCAACCTTCTTTCCTCCACCAAGATATCTAGAGGGCTGAAGTTTACCAGCAAGGAAAATTCTGCCAGGCCTGAGACTTCCCTCCTCACTCTAAAACACTATGTGGATAGGCAAGACCAGCAAAGGAGATTCTCCCCTCCCTTAAATAAGCAAATCAGTCCCATAGGCCAAGACAACCTTCCCCTACCTAAGTGCAACTGGTGGTTTAGTCAAAGGCAGTTCCCATTACCTTAAGCAATACCAGCAAGGACAGGTGGGAGACTGAAAGATACCAGATAAATCAAGTGGGCCAAAATAGCATCACAAAGGCTCTGAAATTAAGTTATTATTGGAACCACAGTCACAAAGCACCAGGGCCTGCATATAAAACCTAAACTATTTGATTGCCTGTGAAAATCACATAGGATCCCATCTTCTAATTTATTAACCAAAATGTACAAGAGACAACAGAAAAATCACCTGTAATTCCTTGAACAAGGTAAATTATAAGTTAATGTGAAAAGACAACTGAAGATACCAATTTCAAAATGAATCAGATGTTGAAATTATTGATTCACCTCTTAAAGCAGCCATTTTAAATATGCTTCAATAAGCAACTACAAATCCTACAACAAACAAAAAAACTGAAAACATCAGCAAAGAAACTAAGTTAGAATCAAATGAGAATGGCAGAACTGAAATCTACAAAAACAAGAAAAAAAAAAAACATTGGTTAAGAGTAGAGGACAGAAGATAGAATGGGATTGCTGAGGTCTGAGCAACAAATTCACCTGCTCTGAACAACAGACACAAAACAGCATGAAAATAAATAAACAAGTATCCATGGAACCATAACAATCACCATTTACACCATCTGCGTAAATGAGGCTTTGCTGTAACAACTGAAGCTCCCCAAATCTAAAGAAAGATAAACTTACAGATTCAGGAAGCCAAATGAAGCTCAAGATAAATCTAAAGGAATCCACACTAGTTAAAATTCTGAAAACAAAAAGGCAAAATCTTGAAAGAAGACAGAAAGAAATGACAGAATATGTGCAAGGGCACAGTAATTCAAATGACAGCATATTTCTCTTCTGAAATTGTGAGTTGTGAATGCTATATCCAGTGAAACTATTATTTGGAAATAAAGAGAATGAAGACATTTTCAGAGCAAAGAACTACAGGACTTTGTTGCTAGTAGACTTACCTGTAAAAAATGGCTATGGAAAGTACTTAAGCAGAAAGAAAATTATAAAAGGAAGAATATGGGACTACTAGGGAAAAAAAGAGAAAACAATAAAAAGATCAGAAATATGGATAAATACAAGAGACTACCCTCCTCATAAATTTTTAGAATCACATTTGATGACTGAAACAAAAAAAATTAACCCTATATAATACTTGAGGCATATTTAAAAAATTCATTCATTTATTTTTTTGGAACCAGGGATTGAACCCAGGGGTGCTTAACCACTGAGCCACATCCCTACTCCTTTTTGTATTTTATTTAGATGTAGGATCTCACTGAGTTGCTTAGGGCCTCAATAAGTTGCTGAGGCTGTCTCTTAATTCCTGATCCTCCTGGCTCAGCCTCCCGAGTGGCTGGGATTATAGACATGCACCATGGTGCCCGATGAGGCAATGATATTTAATAATAAAGAAGGTAAAGAAACCCAAATAGAAGAAAAATTTCCATAAATCAGAGTGCTAAAATGTTGGTACCATTAGGCTATTAATATCACAATGCTCGCTGTGATATACAGTGCAACTACTACAAAAAAACTATAGAGATGCCCTCAAAAACATAAATACATCAAAATGAAAAGAAACAAACAACAGAAACAAAACATCAGATTTAAGCAATTAGATATAAATAAGTGCCTTAAATATAAATGATATAAACACACCCAAAAACAGACTGATAGAAGAAAAATGGACAGCCCAGCAATACACTGTCTACAAGAAACTCACTTCAAATTTAATGACATAACCATAGAAGAACCTCAACAAACCCTCTGGCTTCCCTTGCTTTTAGCTGACATTTTAAAAAGCACTCAACTATAGGTCACACAGCTGACCAACGTAAGTCTCTCACTAGCTTTGCCATAGAGGACGAAACTAATAGGTTAAAAGCATTCTCCAGTAAAAGTTGTTTTCTGGTCCTCCCCTGTTCTATATCTCAAATTGCAAGATTAGCTATTCCTAGAAAAAGAAACTAGAAAGATATGAGTCATAAAATTTACTAATCAGTAACTTTCCTCTAGATTTATGGAAACCAGAATATCTGATGGTCTTCAGATAGCATCAAAAATGTGGGCCAAGGTCTTGATAATCTTATTCTTTAATTAAACAGTGAAATAATGTTTAACTTGCAGGGACAACAATGTGTTTGCCTAAAAAAATTACAGAAACTAGCGGGTACGATGGCACACCTGTAATCCCAGCAATTTGGCAGCCTGAGGCAGGACAGCTGGGGCAATTTAGTAAAACCCAGTCTCAAGATTAAAAAATAAAAAGGGCAGAGGTGGGTGCGGTGGCCAGGGCTCGAGGATCTTGAGTTCAAAGCCAGCCTCAGCAACAGGAAGGCGCTTAACCAATACAAAATAGGGCTGGGGATGTGGCTTAGTAGTTGAGTGCCTCTAAGTTCAATCCTTGGTACCCACTAAATAAAAATAAAAAGGGCTGAGATGTAGCACAGTGGTAAAAGTACCCCGAGGGTCCAATCCCCAGTACTCAAAAACAGAACTGAAGGTCAATTATTACCACAGGGACATTCTGGCAGAACAGAAAGAAAAACATCCCTGAGTGACTGAGATGATTACTGGAGGATGGATGTGTGGCTCAGTGCATAGTGCTCCTGCTTTTTGCCCTCCTGCTCCTCATTTAACTGCCCTATAAGAGCCCTTTTGTGCCCCTGAGTTCCCTAAGACAGTCTTTGTTTGGGGGGATGATAGTTTTCCCTTCCAATTTCTCAGCGTTGGCCTTTTAATAAACCTGATTTCCCTCCTACTTCTCATCTCCCAAGTACTGCTTTTGAGTGGAAAGCAGTACCCCTGGTACATAATTAGTTGAAAGTAAAAGGATAATGAAAGGATGGAAAAAGTAATGTAAACATTAATTAATTATATTTAATGTGATATTAATTTTTTTTAAATAAATTACTTCTTAGTGGTACTGGGGATTGAACCCAGGGCACTCTACCACTGAGTTTCCTCCCCAACTGCTTTAGTCAGCTTTTTTGTTGCTATGACTGAAAGACCCGACCAGAACAACAGTAGAGGAGGAAAAGTTTATTTGGGGGCTCATGGTTTCAGAGGTCACAATCCATAGACAACAAGGGGCAGGTAGAAGGAGAGAGAGGGAGAGGGGAGAGAGAGAAACTCCATTCTCCAAATACAAAATATATACCCCACAGCCACATACCCAATGAACCACTTCCTCCAGCCATACCCCCTACCTGCCTCCAGCTCCCACTAATTAATCCCATCAGGTATTAATTAGCTGATCGGGTTAATGCCATAAGCCAATCATTTCTCCTCCAAACTTTGTACTGTTTCCACATCTAAACCATAACATCAACCCTTTTAATTTTTTATTTTGAAACAGGGCCTTGCTAAGTTGCTAAGGCTGGCCTCAAGCTTGTAATCCTTTTGCCTCAGCCTCCTAAGTAACTGGGATTATAGAAGTGTTCCACTGGTAAAACATTAATTTTGGCTCCATTAATATGTTCTGAAGAAGA